AATAGCACAGACTTCCAACGGCAAGGTCTCCTAAGAGCCCTTTGCTGGGTAGAGGAGGATAGAGGCGAAGAATTCTCATAGGAGTTGAATCCTCAGCACCTGGAACAGAGCCTGGAAAGTAGGAGGAATTCAAGAGGCTCACATGTTTGTGGAATAAATGAGCATGTGTCACATGACCCAATCTGCAGGTCAGGTGTCACTACCCTTTCTCTGGGCAAATCTCCTTGACCTTCAGCCTGGACTTCAGGATGTCTCCCTTTCTGAGATTTTTCGGTTCAATTCCACCAATATTTTTTTAGACCAGGAGGTTACAAAGGTAAAGTCATGGCCTCCTATTAAATACTCAGTAGTTCAAAGAGTGTAGACCTGGGTTCAAATGTGGACTTCTCCATTTATCTTTTTGATCTTAGAGAAGTCATTTAGCCTCTCTGAGCCTCAGCTTCTCATGATAAAAACGTTCTCTCATAAAAGACCGTAATGAAAATTAAAGAGCAGACAGTACTTATACAAAGTCCAATGTATAACCACCATCATCTATTGCATTCATGCCATGGGGATCGAAAAATAAATAGGAAAAGGACAATTCTACAATGTATGTAAACCTTAAAGAGGACAATTCAAGTAGTGACACACATTATGAAAAAATAAGATAAAGTGATATCCTTGATGACTGGAGTGCTGGGGAGGGCAGAGCGGTATCGGTGATATTTGTTTTTTTTCTTTTTAGGGCACTATTAAATTTTGCTTTAAATATTTCTTTCCACAATAAAGAGGAACCTTTTTTTTTTTTACACTAGCCTTTTCTTTTTTATATGAATTATGCCATGAGTTCACAGGGAATAGGTTCCAGCAGCTCAGGCTCCTTTGCACTGGTTCTCACAAACTGTGCTTCTCTGTGTGGAGCAGGCTGGCCTGCCACTTCAGGGGAACCCAGGTACTTTTCTCTTTGGCTTCCTTCTTTTTCTGATCATTTTCCTCCACGCATTTTAGGAAGCTATTTTGGCTCTTAGAGTGCTTAATATGCTCAATACGAACATTAATCCTCTTGGCAAGAATCTTGCCCTTGTTTGTTTACAGCAGTGCCAACAGCATGCTGGGTAACATTGTAGACTCTTCCAGTTTTGCCATGGTAAGGGACATGCCTTTTGAACAGTACCCATTCCCTTGATGTCTATATCACCTTTCTTGTAGATTTGTATGTACGTGGCCAAAGGAACAACTCTGTTTTTTTTTCTTTTTTGAAACTGAGTCTCAAGCTGTCGCCCTCAGTAGAGTGCCATGGTGTCACAGCTCACAGCAATCTCAAACTCTTGGGCTTAAGCTAGTCCCTTGCCTCAGCTTCCTAAGTAGCTAGAATTACGGGTGCCTGCCACAAAGCCCAGCTATTTTTGTTGCTGTTCTTGTTGTTGTTTGGCAGGCCCAGGCTGGATTCAAATCCACCAGCTCTGGTGTATGTGGCTGGCGCCTTAGCCAGTGAGCTACAGGCACCGAATGCCGAGCCAAGCTACAGGTGCCGCACCAGCTCCATGTTTTCTAAAAGGCCTAGGGAACATATATTGGATGCCGGCTCGGCGCCTATAGCTCAACGGGCTAAGGCGCCAGCCACGTACACCTAAGGTGGCGGGTTCGAATCCCCAGCCCGGACCCGCCAAACAACAATGACGGCTGCAACCAAAAAAATAGCCGGGCGTTGTGGCGGGCGCCTGTGGTCCCAGCTACTTGGGAGGCGGAGGCAGGAGACTCGCTTGAGCCCAGGAGTGGGAGGTTGCTGTGAGCTGTAATGCCACGGCACTCTGCCCAGGGGGATAGCTTGAGGCTCTGTCTCAAAAAAAAAAAAAAAACATATATTGGATGCCTTTCCTCTTTTCTTTTGTGTTCATCATTTTGGTGAATTACTGGAAGGTGAATTACTCTGGTCAAAAGGCCAAGAAGTGATATTTGAACTGAGACTTGAATAACAAGGAGGAGCCAACCAGTGAAAAGTCAAGGGAAAAGTGTTCCAGACAGAGAAGGAAAAGCTAATCCAAAGATCTGGAGGCAGGAATGAGCTCAGTTATGTTCCAGGGATGGCATGACCAGGCCAGCCTGGCTAGAGTAAATTGAGGATGACATCAATGGCAGGAGATGAGGCTAGATACACAGGTAGGTTCTAGGTCATCATGTAGGACCATGACCACGATAAGGATGAGTTTAGCTTTTATTATAGAAGTGATGGGAAGTCTCAGAGTTTCAGCCAGGGAATGACACTATCTGATTTACATTTTAAGGCATCATTCTGGCTGCCCTATAGTGAGGGGAATGAAGGAGATATTGGTCAGGAGGCTATTGTAGTGATCAAGGCACAGATGATGGTATCTGGACTAGAGTGATAGTGTGAACAGGGAGAAAAGATCAGATGTGGGTACATTTTTGAACTAGAGCAAATGGAGGTAGGGAAGTGCATAGAGAAAAAGAGGACACACAAGAATGACCCGAGGTTTTTGACTTGACTGGCAGGATTTTCTGAGATGAAGAAGAGAAATGGGTTCTGTTTTTTTCTGTATAAGTAACAGATTATTGTTATTATTATTATTATTGTTTGGAGTTCATTGAGGGTACAAAGAACTAGGTTACACTGATTGCATCTGTCAGGTAAAATCCCTTTTATAATTGTGTCCCACCCCCTCCCTCCTTCCCTCTCTCCCTTCCCCCATTCCCCCTCCTTCCCTCTCTCAGCTCCCAACCATGTACTAGGTCATCAACTGTCCTCTTATCAGAACTGAGTACATTGGATTCTTGCTTCTCCGATGGGTTTTATGTTTTTGGAAAATGAGGCAGGAATATGTGAGTGATAGTACCAAGTATAGAGAAGACTGGAAAGAGGGTGGCTAACTCTAAAATGTGCAAGGGGAGACTGTGGAAAGTTTAGGTGTAGGATGAGATTGAAACTGATCCTTGCAGGACTAGAGACGGGAGGGCTGATGGTCCAGGAGAAAAGGAGTGATTTGCATGTAACTCTAGGCATGAGCTGGTGCAACAGCTCATTTTCAAATTTATATTTCTGTTTCTAACAGCTAAGAAATTGGAAACTTGGCCAGGCGTAGTGGCTGAGGCCGAGGTGGGTGGATTGTCTGAGCTCATGAGTTCAAGACCAGCCTGAGCAAGAACAAGACCTGGTCAATTAAAAAAAAAAAAAAAAAAAAAAAAAGGGCAGCACCCATAGCTCAGTGGGTAGGGCACTGGCCACATATACTGAGGCTGGCAGTTTTGAACCTGACCCAGGCCAGCTAAAACAACAACTGCAACCAAAAAATAGCCGGGCATTGTGGCAGGTGACTGTAGTCCCAGCTAGTTGGGAGGCTGAGGCAAGAGGATCGCTCAAGTCCAAGAGTTTGAGCTTGCTGTGAGCTATGAAGCCATAGCATACTAGCCATGGTGACAGAGTAAGAATGTCTAAAAATAAAGGAAAGGAAAGGAAAAAAAGAAAGTTTCAGAGACGGCCACAAGCAATTGTAAAGGACAGAAACAAACAAAAAAAGGGAGACTCAAGGTCACACATTTAGAAAGTGATCATCACTGCAAAGCAGAGCTGAATGGCAAAATTGGGCATAGAAGTACAGAGTGGAAGATAGACAAGGGCTGTAAAACATAAGCTTGGAAAGGTGAGGGCGGGCCTGATTGTGAAGGGCCTGAAGGGCCAGGATGAAGAAACTGAACCTCATTTTGGTGTGGAATAAGAGCACCCATTGTAGGTTGTGCAACGGGCAAGTAGCATGACCAGTACTGTGATTCTGTAAAGTGCTTGGCTAGATGTTAGACAGGCTGGAGTGGATAACACCTCATAGCACTAATTTATTCATCATTTATTTATTTAAAAAAAATACAGTCAGGCACTGTACTAGGTACTTGTACTCCTTATAAGGACAAGCAAAGCAGATACAGTCTTTGCCCCGACAGAAGAGCTTAACCAAATAAGCACACAAACAAGTGCCAAAACTGAACCACCAAGTGGCATCTACATGCTGCTGAGGTCACTTGGTAACCAGGATTTGACTACCATGGGATCAAACTAGATTTCCCTGCTAAAAACTGGACATCCACTGACCCTGGTTCTAGGCCACACTCCATCACTAACCTACTGTGAACCCAGGCAACTCACTGCCTCTAAATTTCCCCACTTATGAAGAAAGAGGAACTAGATAATATAATCTTCCTCCGACTCTAAAGGTTCAGGATCATCTACTCCAAAAACCACAGATCTGGCTCGGCGCCTGTGGCTCAAGTGGCTAAGGCGCCAGGCACATACACCTAAGGTGGCGGGTTTGAATCCAGCCCAGGCCCGCCAAACAATGACGGCTGCAACCAAAAAATAGCCGGGCGCTGTGGTGGGCGCCTGTGGTCCCAGCTACTTGGGAGGCTGAGGCAGGAGACTCGCTTGAGCCCAGGCGTTGGAGGTTGCTGTGAGCTGTGATGGCACAGCACTCTACCCAGGGGGATAGCTTGAGGCTCCGTCTCAAAAACAAAACAAAACAAAACAAAACAAAAACACACAGATCTGCATCTCAAAGCTACTAAATTGCACCCAGTATCTTTACATTAGAAAGGAGCAGCTCTGCGGTAGCCTCCATCCCTTCCAGGAGGCCTGGGTTGGTTCCCCGTTGTGAAGGCAACCGCTTGGGCCCCGACCGGGCGGAAACTCGGCGTGACGACAGCAACTGCGCCACTACCAAACGTCCCATTTGCCAGGTTATGATATGGCCACCGTGGCACACCCCACCTAGGCTTCTCACTAAATATCCGGACATAACTATCCCTGGAGCAGGCTAAAAAGGGAGGAACAGGAGCGCCAGTACAGCCCCCAAGACTTCCGGAAGGCTCCATCAGGGACTTAGCGCCTCTGGTCTGTCTGGTAGGCAATCTCCCACGGCCTTGCACCGTCATTTCCGCCGTTCTCTTGTGCCGGATTGACAGCTTGTCCGTCCAATCATATGTGGGACAGCCCCCCACCGGGCACGCGAGGGGTGGGTGTGAAAGCGAGAGGCCCCGCCCCTCGCAGACGTGTGACGTTAAAGTCGCCATGGCCAGCTACCCGTACGGGCAGGTGAGTGCGTGAGGGGCCCGTGAGTCCAGCTAGGGGCCGTGCGAAGCCCAGGCTTGGCTCTCCCAGCCTTCTCTTTCTCTCCGCTTTATTTGCGTCCTTACCCACGCTGGGTTCGCTTCAGCACGACCTCGCATGAGCGAGAACAGAAAAGAGACCGTCGTCGCGCCTAGCTTACGTCACGCAGGACTGAGTGTCCGGGAGGTCTTGTCGCACCCCCCTGACGTCGCGCACGCGAAGATATGGGGACGTTGGACCCCACAGGTCCTTGTAGGTCCCGGTCTAGGCTCCACACCCCTCTCGAGGCTCCCGCGGGTTCCCTGACTGGGGTCATCAGCGCTTGACAAGATGTTGAGAGCTTTGGTTTCCATCAGTATCCTTTAGGGCTTCGGATAAAACTATAGGCTTCTGGATTCACCCCACACGTACTGCGTCAGAATAATCAGGGGACTCTGTGGTAGCAGCAGGCGCCCCAAGTGAGCTGGTTTGACCATTCATTTAGTCCAGCAATTCCATTTCACATATACCGTAGGAAAAATGAAACCCCAAGAAGACACAGAACTTACCCGAAGTTAGCAGGCAGTTAGACAGCAAAGCCAAGGTCAGAACCTGGGTTGTCTTCAGGTGCCTCTTACCCCATTGCCAGCCTATCTCAACTTAGCCAAGAACATCTCGGCAAGGTGATTTTATGGCCAGAATACTTTGAGTTGACAGTTTGGACTCAGATTCACGTCTTGGCTCCACCTAAATAGTTTTGATGCCTTGAGCAAGCTGTTTTGCCTTTCTGAGTCAAAGTTTCCTCCTCTAAAATAGAGCCGAATAATAGAATCTGCCTCATAGAGCTATTATGAAGAGTAATGAAATGATGTTTATTAAGCGTTTGGTACGTAAAAAGGTGTAATACATGTTGTCTTTTAGTGTTTTCACTTTTAGTAGATTCCTATAAGGTGCTGAGGGGACCCTCAAAATAAGCCCCCTCATTTTGCAGAGGAGGAAACTGAAGCCCAGAGAGGGTGTCATGACTTGCCCAAGATTACACAGTGATTTACAAGATAAAACCCATGCAGGAAAAATAGGAAAACAAAATCAAGTGGAATATTACAAAGTGGTTGACTGAGTATAGTCACATGCCAAAGATGTGATAAGAGTCCTTACAGGAAGTGTGGTTCTGTGCAGTTTACACACTATTTGGACCTTCTTTTTCCCAATCATAAAGGCCCTATAGTCATACAGGGATTATTACACCCACTGTACAGCTGAGGAACAAATCCAGAGAGGTTAAGTGGCTTGCCAAAGTCACATAGCAAGTGAGGGTGAGGCCATGACTGGGACTCCTTTCTTTGCATACTTAGCAGAAGTAGGAAAAAGAGAGGCCAGTGTGGGCTGGGCTTAGAAGGAAGTATAATGTAGCAGTGTTTCCCAAACTCCATTCCATTTGTTGAGTCTTGTGAGATATTAATAGGGCTTATTAATAGAGGAAAATTCGGTGTTAAATAAGTTTGGGAAATACTTTAAATACAGCTGAAAAGTTTGTTCACCACAGAGCATTTCAAAATTTTTAATTTGCTAATGAACGTTGTAAAGCTTCCAGGAAGGAATAGGATATGCAGTATTTCTTTCTTTTTTTTTTTTTTTTTTGAGACAGAGCCTCAAGCTGTTGCACTGGATAGAGTACCGTGGCATCACAGCTCTCAGCAACTTCCACCTCTTGGGCTTACGTGATTCTCTTGCCTCAGCCTCCCAAGTAGTTGAGACTACAGGCGCCTGTCACAACACCCAGCTATTTTTTTTTTTTGTAGTTATCATTGTTTGGCAGACCCCGGGCTGTATTCGAACCCACTAGCTCTGGTATATGCAGCTGGTACCTTAGCTACTTGAGCTATAGGTGCCGAGCCAATAGCAGTATTTCTTAAAATTTATTTAGCTATAGAACTTCCTTCTCCCTCTTTTTTTTCCTTGTTTTTAATGTCTGGTCATTTTTTGTGACACTAGTATTTCTGAGGAGCACATTTTGAGGGGAATATTGCCATAGTTTATTGTCTGTCAGTGGTTGGGCTTCTGGCTTAGAATCACCTGAGAGCATGTTTAAAAAGCAACACTTTTGGCTCAGCGCCTATAGCTCAACCAGCTAAGGCGCCAGCCATGTACACCTCAGGTGGCGGGTTCGAATCCCCAGCCCGGAACCGCCAAACAACAATGACGGCTGCAACCAAAAAATAGCCAGGCGTTGTGGCGGGCACCTGTGGTCCCAGCTACTTGGGAGGCGGAGGCAGGAGACTC